GGTTTATACGGATTAGCTGGTTGCATTTTGCAACCTGACGGGGATCCAGGGGCACAACCTTTGGGTTCATCTTCTCGCATAGCTGGAGCGCTTATGCTTTTTGCTTCCGTTGTGCTCATAACGATAGATATAATAATCACAAGAGCGAATGATTGTATAATTGTTTTCTTCGATATAGCCATTTTTTTCTAAATGATTTTTTACTTCTTATTTCCAATGAACATTCGTGCTATTATATAGTGAGGATTTATTGCTAAATAAAGAATGTTTCTAATAGGTTTAGTCATCTGTAACCATTGAATGTTTTGTCGGGTTTGCGCATTGTTTGGTGAATCATACTTATTAATTTTGTCTAAAATAGTGAAAATGATCGAATGTAAATTATATTTCCCTTTAACTATTTCTCAAATCATCGCTTTCTAATATTTTAGAGGCTCTAAACAACTAAAGAAAATATGTTTTTTTTTTTAATTCAGATAAAATTTTATTATAAGTTTTACTTCAAAATGAAAGATAATATTCTTACATTAATAAATTTATTTTTTCTAAGAAAAATATAATATAGTACTGTGTAATAAGTACAATTAATCAAATATTTCTAATTTACCATAAAGATTTTGGTTCAAATTTCTGAGAGATATTGTAGATTATCAAAAAAATGAAAGAAAAAAAAACAAAACATGAAGAATTTGAGATAAAAGATATAAAATAAACAATATATAGAAATGTTTTTAAGTTAAATAAAAATGAATGTAAAAAAGAAGATATTGATAAAGAAGAAAAATATATCTAGGCACATTTTTTTTTAACCTTAAAATCTTATTTATTACGAACTGAACAAGTCATGACTCGAAGACGAAGTCATACAGTTTTACAAAGATACTAGGTGAATACCCGCGCTAAGCGCGGGCTTATATTTTTAGTAATTTAAAATTATCTTATTATATAAAGTATGGTTTTCAAAGTTAATAACTCGCATGATCGTGACACGTGTCAAGTCTATCGATCAGATGTTTGACATGTGTCAAAAAATATTTAACTTTCTTCATTAACGAAATAGGAAAACTAAAAAAAAGAATATTTACATATACTAATTTATAGATCTAATTTTTAAAATTTGTTAACTTTATTTTTCTTAGCCAAAAAGGAAAACTAACAATTTCTCTTCACATGTGTTATTGGTCAATTAGATTTGGCATGTGTTAATTGTTTTCTATAAAATCATTTAGTATGGATATTAACAAATAAACAATAACGGTTATAGTTTTAAATAACAATATAAGTTATTTAACATTAATTTAATTGGATAAATTGTATTATTTCATAAGAAAATTAGTGTGGTTATACTTAATTTTATTTTAAGAATTTTAGTGCATGTAGTCATAATTATAAACTAAAAATATTTGGAAAATGGGCTTATATGATTGAATTTTTGATTACTTAATGAGAATGTTAATATATATATATTTAATGATTTATTTTTTAATTTTTACTCATTTAAAATTAGATTGCCATGAGGTAAAACTAACTTATGAGATTACGTTATATAGAAAACTATATTTTAAACAATGTTTGTTTTCCATAACTTTTGTGGATTTCTATTTTTTTATTAAATATTTTGTTATTTGTTAATTATATTTTAATTTTTAATATTAACTAAGATATAGATTTGATATGATATATATACGATTTTGATACAAAATTATTATTAGCAGTTTATCCATTAAGATGAACTATGAAGACTTAAAATCAAGTTTACTATGGTGTTATAAATAGTTAAATTATATTGCAAAATGGAATGTGTAAGATTAAAATTTCATTTTTTAAAAAAATACTAAATTAAATATATATAAATTGTGTCGGTTACTATTTAGGATTTAAATATCATCAATACGAAAAAATGTGTAGAATTAAAATTTAGATTATTACAATGAAATAAATAGTAAAAATGTATAGAAAAATGGAATGTGTAAGATTTAATTTTTGTTTAAAACAAAAATACTAAATTATTAAATATTAGGAAAAGTGAATGGATTACTATATTAATCAAAATTCAAATATCATCGATAACAATTTATATTTATATAATTATACCCGCCTATTTAGGCGGGCCTTATCTAGTTATATATATAATCTCATCTTATAGAATATATTATTGAAAATATATATATAGCTAAATGTATTACTTGTAAGACTATTAAAAACAGACAATATAAATGTAATTAAAACTTGGAGTCATACTTAAAAGTAAAATCAAGTATATTGGTTCATTTGAAAAATCAATGAGTTTGCAGGTCTTTGATTCAAAATTTTATATGCATATACAACTCTAAACATGTTTAAAGTTCGACAATCTCTATTTTACACACAAAGATGCTCAAGGTCCCACATTATCTAATGTATCAAAAGATACAATGAGCTATAATATTTCCAGGACTTCTCCTTTAGTTTTTGTGTCTTCCTTCTTCCTCCAATACACTTTCATGTTTCTCCCACATGTTATAAAATTTGTTCTTTAACGTTTAAACAAATTTCCCATGACAATTATATTCTTTCTTATAAAGAGTAATTTGTCGAAAAAAAAAAATATAAAGAGTAATTTAAGGACAAGATACTGTTTTTCAAGTTCCTCTACAATTTCTCTCTCCATATATACGTACATCTCTTTTGTTTCTCTTCTAACAGCGCTCGCTTGAGTCTTCTCCAACTTCTCTTGGCTCAATTATCATCTTACATGGCTAGTTTGATCTCCACCAAGTCTCCGTTAACTTCCTCATGTAACGTTCATGATTGCACAACAAAAATTAACAGAGAAGAAAAATCGTTAGAAAGCTCGTATCCAACTATGTACAATGATCTAGTTTGTCAGACTTAGAAAAGGGAAAAAATAATACAACGCATTTAGAAACACAAAGAACCTACGATTAAACGAAAACCATAAAATCTGAAATAAGCAACAGACACATTAGCTAATCTAATAACTAAAACAATCTTAAGACTAAAACGACAACAAAACCATTAACATTCAACTCTTAGTACCACTGCTCATGGTGCCAAGAAATTCCAGTAACAAAACAGAAACATAAACCTTAGGAAAATCATGAAAACCCTAGAAAAATCAAAACACCAAAGGTAAGAGTCATAAACCTTGAGTGATCGATGATAACAGAGCATCATAAGCAAAACGTTATGTTCTCACGAGTTCTCGTGAAGCAACAAAGAGCTTTCTTTTGCAAATCCAACAAATCAATCTTGGGCCTTTTCACTTCAGCCTAGTGTGTGCATGAACCCCTCTTTAGTTTCAGAACCAGGAAATCCACAGTATATCAACGGCTCACATCGAATCTGTGGCTTTCGGAAACCTAAGGCAAAATGAAGTTATAAACAACCAGAAACCGAGACAGTCCAAAACTATCAAAAGTTAGAATCAGTAAAAAGGATCACCGCGACGGTGATCCGATCGACTCAAGAATCACAACAAAAAACGGATATCATCCAATGGATATATATGACGACTAAAAATCCTAGAAACCATATGTGTCAATTGAATTTAGAACCTACGTTTTTACCTTGTAAATGGGAGAGTCAAGGTCATTTTCTAGTGGTCGCTCTTTGATCACGCGTTCTTCTCCAGAAAATCGAGAAATTGGATCTGAAGTCTTTGAATCAAATGGTGAATAATGCAGAAATCGGATGTTATTGGTGCCGATAGACATGGAAGCTCGAAGAATCAAAGATTGGAGAAAAGAGAGCGATCAAGTCTTCTCAACAGCGTTGCCATTGGTCAATGAATGTTGTAGTCTGGTTTTAACCTAAATGGTCAGATAAAACGCAAAAAAGAGGAGGCGAGAAGGTAAGGTTTTTAATTTATTTGAATGGACACGTGTCAATCTCTCCTTTGCTGACGTGTCACAAAACTGGAGAGAGTTCACCTCTTTTCATATATATGATTTCAAATAGTAGAAAGAGGTGCATTAGATGCACATATACAATAAAATCTTCCGCTTCGATTGACTTAAAAATATATCTAGGCACATTGCATTGCGTGGCTCGTCTCTAGGCACATATCTCGCCTTTACAATTGTCACCTACTGTTGTTAGATTCTCGATAACTTGGGAATAAATGTAGGTGCTTAATTGGTCATGCATACATGTCAAAACAAATGTGCGTATTAGATATGATAAAAATTAGTGTGTTTGAGGGGACCGGAGGATTTGGTTCGTATTAGATATGATAGAATCTAATCTATTCCTATGTGGGAATTTAGTTATATATCTTCTCTAGGTTGGATTTTCGATTCTAGACCGGCCAGCCAAATTAATGTGGTAGCAACACTAATTACGTAAAGTTTTTGTGCTCAGATCTGGACATGCAACTAATGATATTATACTTTATCATGCATACAACGCAGTGGGAGATGTATATTATTAATTGTATCAACACTAATGATATTATACCATGTGTACAAATGATATTCCCAAAGTAACGCCTCAGGCAGTAGCTCCTTTATATTAATCTTCAAATGCAATTACAACCGAAAGAAGCCGGCCGGTACTCGATGCCGAAAAGTCCGGAAATGGTACATGAAATAAGATTAACGGTTAAAATCGTCGATAAGACTAAATACAAAACATGAATTTGGACATAAGTCATAGGAAATTAACTTCTTGTAGTTTTCAACCCGAAAATAGTATGGATATTCTTACACTAAAACTTTTTGGTTACCAAAGAAGTATTTAATACAAAGTAATTGTGTTGAGTGATATCATAGAGTATATATACCAAATGAATATATACTTAAGGTTATCAATTGGACCATATATATTCCTGCCGAGTCCAAACAGGTCTAGTGGTGAATAAATTAGCCAAAAAACCGGCTCTAATCTTGTTTTCTTTTTACTAGGAGCAATTAAGATATATAAAACCGGTTTTATTATACCCTAATTGAAACCCCTTTGTCAAGTAATCTGTCTATATATACAGAAATATGCTTAGTACTTTCTTCCCACTCCAGTACAACTAAAAAAAAACTACTACGGTATATAGTAGACGACCATCATCCTCAAAATGGGTCTAACGTCATTTGAAGGTTCGTTTTACTTCTTTATGCATGCATACATGCAAGTTTAAATTCCTTTCTGTCTATTTATGTTTACTTATCTACGTATATAATTCAATATAGACATCATTAAAGAGAAGCTAAAGGAAGGCAAAAACGCTCACTTCATGTTGGTTGATGGAATGTCTAAGCTATTGACTCAAAAAGTTAAGTATTGTCAGTCATTGGATTTCCAAGTTTCTGGTATCAAATGGTGAGTCGTTCGATCTGGTGCCCCAACAAGGCTCATGATATGCAATTTAATTAAACTTATGTGTGTTCTTTTTTGGCTTGATATTGGCGATGTAGGAAGTTGCTTATACGCCCAGCTTTGGGATTCAATGATTGTCTATCTTATTCTGTGTGGATCATAGATGAAAAGTATACCGGATCTAATTGGGAAGTCAAATTCAACTTCAAAATCGGCATAGTTCCTCAGACTGGATCTGATTATTGCTACGGTAATGTTGTTCTGTGTATATAAATATACATATAAAACAAATTCACACAAGTATTATTGGGTGTAGATTTTGATATATTGAAATATATGTTGTGTATCAGTCTTTGTGGGGTGTCACAACAAACAAAGCCTTGTTCTAGGGCTAGACAACTTCATATCATACACGGTGTTGAAGGAGAGGTTTCTTGTGAACGACAAAGCGGTTTTCTATGCTGAGATAAGCGATGTCCAACCAAACTTCCCCGTTACTGGTATCCCTCGAACCATGGGGACAGCAGAACGCTTGAAACTGATAGAGGTGGCTCGGAACAACTCCAGATTCACCTGGAAGATCACGAAGTTTTCCTCCTTCACTGGTGTAGAGCATTCGTCTTACGAGTTCACGGTTGGACCACGGAGATGGTATGCCTATCATATACTCTCTATCAAAAATATTATATGAAATGACCCAATTATCCATAGAATGTTTCAAATACAACACTGTAGGGATAAGATACTATAAATTTACCGTTTTACCTTACAAATTGCAAAACAAAAACATGTCCTATTTTAAAATCATGCATGTTTCCAATATGAACCAGGAGGCTATCAATGTACCCAAAAGGTTCCGGAGATGGGAAAGGAAATTCGTTGTCTTTGTATCTGACTGCATCCGATTACGTCACTGATGGTCCTAAGGGTGGAACATTGGCCATCTACAAATTGAGAGTGTTGGACCAACTCCATCGCAATCACTATGAAATTAGTATGTATACGTAATTAGTTTATCATTTTGTTTTCTAAGCTTTACATTTTCTATGCATATATATATATAGCCGTTTACTAATGATTACATGTTTGATAAAGACTGCGAAGATTGGTTTCTTCATTTAACGACCTGGGGACGTAATAAGTTTTTGCCGCTGGAGGAACTCCACAAAGCTTCGAGGGGATTTCTAGTGAACGATCAGATATATATCGGTGTTGAGTTCTTAATTGTATCCACTACTGAGTATCTCTGATGCGTATAACGGATTCGATCAAGACCACAAGAATAGATATATATTTCATGTGGAAACTATCTACCAATCATTCTATACTTGCATATCGTAATGTGTGTTTAGATATCAATGAATGATACAAACATGCAGGTTTATACAAAAATAATAAAATAAGTAACGGATCAAATCGGTTGATTGTATTGTATGTCACGATTACATTCAACCCGAATCCGTTGCTGCAAATTCTCTTATATATGGAGAAGGGATGCATGCTTGTGTATAAGTTACTACTTTTCTTGTTTGTAATAACTACAACGTTATATCGGTGTGTATATATTAAAAAAAAACTTAAAGCTCTAATTTCATACGTCCCATTAAAAAAAAAAAAAAAAAACCAAAAACCTCACCATGTTGGAATAATCAATTTCAATAGCAATATTTTGATATATCTTAACATTATATTCATGGAGAGTATGGCCAAATGAGTTGGCTTTCAATGCCTATCTCTCTAAAATCTAGTATTAGATACGTTAAATAGTAGAAAGTTATCATTGATCGGTAAAATGATGATATTTTTAATGTTTAAAGGTATAACTTTTTCTTAAAGCTATAGAAATTATATATATATATATATATATATAGTTCATGAAGTAAATCAGTGTTAAATATTTTATTTCGAGTCTTAAGAAATATAACTTATAAAAGAGATTAATTGTTATATTTGCTAAACTTCAAAAGTAATGATATAAAACATATGTTTGCATCATTTTGTAAAACATTCGTTCTCATTGTTTTTCATTTAAAATATTTATATACACATTTCTAAGGCCGACTCTTTGGCTCCTAGAGTTCACATTTGTAGTTACATTTCTGTAGGTTTTATAACTTTGGAGATTTTAAAACCTTTATTTTATACTCCCTTTGTTCTATTTTATACGATATTTAAGGTAAAATCGCGGAGTTTAAAAAAGATGGTAATATTTTATCATTTCTTCAAAACATTTTGATTAAAATTTCTTAGAGATATTGTAAACAAATCAAGTTATCAAGAAAATGAAAAAAAAAATATTAAGAAAACAAAACAGAAGAAAAGTTATTGATAGAGAAGAAACATATATCTAGCTAGTAGCTAAGCAAATTGCGTTGCGTTGCGTTGCTAAAGAAGAGGATATTGCGTTGCTCGTCTCTAGACACATATCTCGCCTTCAGAATTGTCACCCGGCCCACTGTTGTTAGATTCTCGATAGCGTGGGAATAAATAGGTGCTTAATTGAACATGTCAAAACAAATGTTTTTGGTGGAAACAAAATAAAAATTAGTGTGCTTGAAAGGACCGGAGGATATGGTTCTTATTAGCTAGATATGATCGAATCTATCTATTTACATGCGGGAATTTAGTTATTCTCTCTTGGTTGAGATTTTCTAGACTGGCCAGCCAAATTAATGTGGTAGCTACACTAATTACGCAAAGCTGGACATGCATGCAACGTAGTGGGAGATAAATCATTATCATAATTGTATCAACACTAATGATATTATACCATGTGTACAAATGATATTTTTATAGTTACGCCCCAGGCAGTAGCTCCATAATAGGCTCATAATTATACGTCTATTCATTTACCCAAGTAAAGGGAAAAGAACTGCTTTGTCAGGATTAATACACAAAATCCAACATCTATTATTCACTTGGTGTGTGTATATTAGGAGTTTTTTTTTTTTTTTTGACAGCAGGAAATCTAAGATCTTTAAAGTCGATGAATTGGAACTCAAGTGACAGGAAATGAACTGATTTAACTTGGTGAAGTTTTTAACCCGAAAGTAGTACGGACCATATAAACCACCTATAACTTTTTGATAAACCAAAAATAGTATTGTGTACAAACTAATTTTATGTTGAATATTGTAAAGCAAAAGAAAAAAAAAAACAAGTTATGTTGATTGATGTCGAAGAGTATATATACCAAATGAATATATACTTAAGGTTATCAATTGGACCATATATACAAATTCTTTTTTTTTTTTGAATAAAATGTAAAATTTATTCGAAAAAACGTTTGTACATCAAGTGTATCGTTTGGTTAAGAAATTACAAAGCATATTTGAATCAATACTACTCCTCTTAGCGTTTATCTTGAAGCAAACCAAGCTTCCATGCATATATACAAATTCCTGTCGAGTCCAAACAGGTCTAGTGATATTTCGACCTAAACCAATATTTTTGAGAGGGAGAATCTTGGCCTAAACCTGATCCCAAACAGCTTGGAGATATATTGATATGAATCGAACCAAAGATCAAACCATGAACAACAGTTTTAAAATAAAGTTCATGAACAAACAAATGGAAAAATTATCTGATCACCGGCACAAGAAATCTGATAGGACCTACTTTTGTTTAACCCGAAAAACCGGCTCTAATATGATTATCTTTTTTGTTTTGTTTTGGAGCAAGAGTAAGATCTGTAACCGGTTCCATTTCTATCCTAATTGATCCTCTTCTTCAAGGAATCTGCCTATATATACTGACATATGCATACCACTTTCTTCTCACATAGGCCAAAGAAATTAAAAAGAACCCTACTACGGTAAATTAGGCGACCATCATCCTCATAATGGGTCTACCGTCACTTGAAGGTTCGTTTCACTTAATTCCGCATGCATACATATAAGTTAACATTCATTTCTGCCTATTTATGTTTATTCATCTACACATATATAATTCAATCTAGACACCATAAAAGAGAAGCTAAAGGACCGCAAAAACGCTCACTTCATGTTGGTTGATGGAATGTCTAAGCTACTGACGGAAAAAGTTAACAATTGTCAGTCAGTGGATTTCCAAGTTTCTGGTATTAAATGGTGAGTCGTTCGATCTGTTGACCCAACACGGTTTTATCAATTTAATTAAACTTATGTGTGTTCTTGTTTGGCTTGATATTGGCGTTATATATATAGGAGGTTGGTTATACGCTTATCTAGGGGAAGAAAAGACCATCTATCCTTTGTTCTGGAGATCACAGATGAAAAGTGTACCGGGTCTAATTGGGAAGTCAAATTCAACTTCAAAATCGGCATAGTCCCTCAGACTGGACCTGATTATTGCTTCGGTATGTTTTTGTGTGTATATAAATATACATATAAAAATTTCTTACACAAGTATTATTGAAATATATATATGTTATGCTATCAGTTTTGGTGGGGCATCAAAACGAAAAACAACGTAGTCAAGGGCTAGCCAACTTCATATCACACACTGATTTGAAGGAGAGGTTTCTTGTGAACGACAAAGCGGGTTTCTATGCCGAGATAAGCGATGTCCAACCAAACTTCCCCGTTACTCGTATCCCTCGAACCATGGGGACAGCAGAACGCTTTAAACTGATAGAGTTTTCTCCGAGGAACTCCAGATTCACCTGGAAGATCACGCAGTTTTCCTCCTTTGATGGTGAAGAGCATTCTTCTTACGAGTTCACGGTTGGACCACGGAGATGGTATGCATATCAGTATATCATATACACACTCATGTTTTGATTGAATGTACACGAATTAAAGTGACTTATCCATACTTTAGAATTATTGTTTCAAATAACAGTACGTATAGAACAAAATATATATAAGTATAATGTTTTACATTAATAATTACAAAACAAAAACATCCTATAATAAAATATGCATGTTTCCAATATGAACCAGGAGACTAGTAATGTACCCAAAAGGTTTTGGAGATGGGAAAGGAAATTCGTTGTCTTTGTATTTGTTTGCATCCGATTACGTCACCAATGGTCCTAAGGGTGGAACATTGGCCATCTACAAATTGAGAGTGTTGGACCAACTCCATCGCAATCACTGTGAAACTGGTATGTATATATACTTAACTAATTTATACTTTTGTTTTCTAAGCTTTACATTTTTCATATGCATATATAAGCCGTTTGCTGATTTTAATAATTACATGTTTGATAAAGATTGCAGATATTGGTTTCCTTATAATCCGGTTGATCCAATGGATTCCTTATGGGGACGTCACAAGTTTTTGCCGCTGGAGGAACTCCACAATGCTTCGAAAGGATTTCTAGTGAATGATCAGATATATATCGGTGTTGATATCTCAATTGTATCCACTACTGAGTATCTCTGATGCGCGCGCGTTAACATATTCGATCAAGACCACAAGGATGAATAGCTCCTGGTGAACCTATCTACCTATATTCTACCATATTGTGATGTGTGTTTAGATATCAATGAATGATACAAACATGCAGGTTTATACAAAAATAATAGAATAAGCGACGGTTTGAATCGGTTGATTGTATTGTATGTCACGATAACATTCAACCAAATCCGTTGCTGCAAATTCTCTTATGGAGAATGATGCATGCTTGTCTATAAGTACTAGCTTTCATGTTTGTAATAACAACGATATATCTATGTGTGTGTTTTATTTCGACTCTTAAAAAATATAACTTATAAAAGAGATTATGTATTAATTATATTTGCTAAACTTCACAAGTAATGATACAAAACATATGTTTGCATCATTTTATAAACATTCTTTTTCATAGTTTTTTTTTAATTAAGATCTATATCATTCACACATTTCTAAGACCGACTCTTTGGCATTTAGTCCTAGAGTTCACATTTGTAGTTTCATTTTGTAGGTTTTGTAATTTCGGTTTAGCTTTTCAAACCTTATATATAATACAAGTTTAGATGTTGACCAAAAAATCTATGATTCACATGTGCATTGCATATTTATTTTTGATGCGCATATATCTCCTCTTTTTTTTTCAGTAGCCGCTATATATTGTTGTTAGATTCTCGATAAAATGGGATTTAAATTTTGTGATTTAGAGTGTTTTTTTTTGAATAAATCCAAAGGTCGGAGCATATGGTTCCTGATATAACTCGCACCTACCTTATGAAGGAATCTATCCCCTTAAGTTACTTCGATCGCGCGCACTACTAGAAAATAACTATTTTGCATCAATTCTTTAACGTAGCTTAAAGCTTTAATTTTCTTTAATCATGTGTATATAGTGAAGAAGAACAACCCAAAGAGGATGTGTAAGGCTTTCGATAGTTTAAAAACAAACATTCCATCGTAGTGTTATTCATTATTAGTATGTGCATACAAACACTCACAAAACACACAAATATATATATTTTAAAAACACATAGATATGACCATATCCCAGCTTTTATTCTTCTTATTATAAACGATATGGTTAGCTGAGGATTGACTCTACTCATATCATAGTTTCACCACTTCTTCACATAAAATCGCTCCTGTAACTTAGCTGCGAGTTCTCAGGTTCCAGATACTCAACGTCGAACAACTTGGGAGCATATCCTTTCTCACGATGGCCCTCAAAATAGCATTTATGGAGAGTCTCTTTGGAATCAAGAAACTCACTTAGCCATTTCCCAGATGACCTTATATATCGTGTCATGTTGTTATTATAATCGACGTAATAGAGCCCGAACCTGATTTTGTAACCTTTATTCCACTCGAAGTTGTCCATTAACGACCATATGTAGTAACCCTTCAGCCTCACTTTGTCCATCCTGAAAAGTGCAAACCATCCATTACACAATTAACTACATGATACTTTTCATTCTAACAAACTCGCTTCGTATCATGGCCTAAGATATGTGTATGTTATTTGCTATATAAAAGTATTTTTAGTAAAAATATTTAGTTAGGTATATACGGTACCTGATGGATTTACCCATGATTAAGATGTGACTCTTGATGAACTCTTTCCTCCCGTAATCGTTAGTGGCTTCCGTTACGCTTTTGGTCCCATAGTCGATCTCGTCCATCCCTACAATTTATAGAAATTGGAATAACTTTACCAAAAACATTCTAATCATCATACTAATTACTCATTCACACACATATGTATATGATATAGTCGATTGGTTACCATTCTCCATAATGTAAATCTCTGGGTCCATGTATTCGTCTTTGATATGTTTCAAGATCTTCATCAAACCCGCTGGATATATCACTATACCCATTGAAGTTGACTGCAAATCAGGAAGACATATTTAGGTTATAAGTGATAACTTGTATTGGCGGGAAAAAGAAGATACTCATTTGAATTTAGTTGACAAACTTGGCGATTGTTTTTAAATCAAATCAAACTTCAAAAAAAAAAAACTCCCACTTTCTAATTTTGTAGCTGAACATCTTTGTTTATACGCATATATAAGGCCATCTCCAACGGCAAGAGACGAAGAGTGAGTGTCTTCAAAAGAAAATATTGATATTTTAATTGTAAAAATATATCTTAATTATTTTTAATACAATGTATCAGTAATAAGATGACAACTGGCCGCTTTTTGTCAGAATCGTTTCTCAACAGAGAAACGTTTCTCCTTTTTTCTCCTTCTCTCTCCAACTTTATTTCTTTTTATTATTATTTAAATCTTGAGAGAACCTCCTCTCTCCCTGCGTTGGAGATGCTCTAAGATACCTATTATATACATGTAAATAAAAATATATGCCCATTGTTTTAGGAGGAATTGTTATAGAGTACCTTGAGATGTGGTGAATGGTTTTGCTGATCTGCAAGAACCAAAAAGAAGTGAAGCAACCATTATTTTTAATATAAATTAATCTAAAATTGATATTAATGTTTAGCGAACTGATCAATTGATTTTGAAAGAAATTTCTTGAAAACGATCAAGGTTATAGTACCTGTCCAGTTTACACGTAAGTCGGTCTCATAATTAAGCTGCGATGAATTGACACTGGCGAGAGGGGTAGAGAAGAATGCTCCATAGTAGTTTAATCCGACGAAATCCAAAGATGTTCTTAGTTTCTCAGATTCTTCTGGTGTAAATTCAGGCAGTCGGATGTTTACATCTTCTAACATTTCCGCTGGATAATGTCCATATGTGAGAGGGCGAAGAAACCTGCCCATTTGTAGTTCAGAAAGCAAAGCATGTCACATCTTATGTATAATCAAATTAAAGATTATTTTAATTAATCATGGATAGATACTAAGATCGATCCCAAAGGAGAAATAATTAAATTAACAAAATATGGAAGAAAAAATCACCAGCCGAGTTGGTACTCAAGGGATCGTCTTGCTGCCTCGACATCTTTACTCGAATTTGGATCTTTAGGCTCGAACCAGTGAGATACCAACACTATTCCAATTTTCCCTTCACCCTCTTGGCACTATATTGTAACATAACAAAGAAATTATTGAATGATTAATTTATATATGGCAAGGCATACTATTTTTGTAATCCATATACATATAGGTATAATATTTATGATTTAATTAGCTTTATGATATATATGGAAATTAATGAATATATAAGCACTGACCTTTTTACAGTTTCGGAATTCATCAACAGCAGCAAGATGAGCAAGAATTTGGTTGTGAGCAACTGTGTATGGTTCCTCGTGTGAATCTCCTGTGGGACATTTTGGGGCTAGCCATTTAGAGCACCGTCCTGGCGCTTTAATACCTTTCGAGTAACCAGCAACGCTGTATACCGATGGCTCGTTAAACGTCGCCCAATTCTTCACCCTATCTCCAAATTCCTTGAAGCAAAAGTTTGCAAACTGCCGGAAATCCTCTCTACATTAAATTTGTTAGCAACAAAAGTTTATTAAAAATTGTTTAAGAAAATCAAATAGTTGAATAGTTTTTCTTTCTTAGTAAAAGAAGAAATCTTGAGAGTTTTTTATCAACAGAATTACAGTACTTACACTATCCTATCGCTTAGGAAACCTTTGTACTCCATTTCTAGAGCAAGCGGAGATTCCCAGTGAAAGAGAGTAACCGAAGGCTGTATTCCTGGTAATTAGTATTACAAACAATTAAAAAAAAAAAAAAACTGGTATAATACAATATACACAAGTTTGAAATAACAATTAGGATTGAATATATATGAGACATATGTTATAAGATGTTTAACCATTGGCTAAAAGTTCATCTATAAGATCGTTGTAGAACTTCACCCCCTCCTCGTTCACACCTTTTTCAATAGTTCCATCTGCAAATTATATATAAATTTTCATGAATTAGAAAAGTAAAAAGAATCATTACGTACGTCTTTGCAATATAGATTTAAGTTAGAGATAATTAATATGTGGTTTGGTAAATTAACTGCAAGGACGAATGAGATGGACTTACAAGGCAAGATCCTGGTCCATGAGATTGAAAATCTGAAGCCATTCGTGTTCAACTGCTTCATTAATTTTATATCTCCCTATAACATCGATATCACATCCCGCACAATCGTTTCAATTTATTTATACGATAAAAAAAAGACTACCATTTACCCATAATAAACAATGAGGTACCTTGTAACGGTTATAGAAGTCGACTCCGTCATCTCCATCGCCATTTTGTTGAACCTTCTCTGAAAGATGTCACAACAATGGTGATACATTTTCTTTTAAGAAAAGATTTAAGACTAAAGAAAATAAAATTCCGCTCTATAATGATCATATATATAATCATTGCAAATTCATAATCACTTTGTAATTTATACCAGGAAACATGTGCGTAAATTCGTCCCATGAGGTCAAGCCTCTTCCAGAACCCTTTTTAGCACCTTCAACCTAAAACTCAAAACCAATTTGAAAATTATATAAGACTCTTCTATATGTCAATGTTATAATGTTTTGAGAATATAATGTGTTTATATGTATGTTGACCTGATATGCGGAAACAGATGTTCCAAAGATGAAATCTTCGGGGAAATCTTGCTTGTGGATCTCATACTCGGGTCCAATGATGGTGCCCAAATCATCATCATTTAGGTTGGTGTGCGGTCCAACGCTGGTGCCCATATCCATGTCCATATCTTCGTCATCATCGACGGTCGCATGCGGTCCAATCACGATGCCTACCTCGTCATCGAAGCTAGTTTGATGAGGTCCAATGACGGTACCAAGATCCTCATCTCTTGGTTGAGGCCTAGCATCGGCGTTGAAGCTAAGTATGGTACTAGTTAAGGCTAAGAGCCCTAGGAAAAGAGTGAGAGTAGCTGTAGCCATATGAGTGTTTTTCTTGTGAATGTTATTGGTGTTTTTTTTATGCTTCTTCTATTTCCCAATCCGTTCTATTTATAGGAAAGAAGCTTCAAGTGTGTGTTATGTGAAATGGAATTTGTGATTTCCTTGTGTTGCACTCATAATTTGTGGGGCATCTTTGGTTTAGTTATAGGATAAGTTTTTTGTTTTTTGTCGTCAAGTTATAGGATAAGTTATAGTGTTATACTCATCATCATAAGCTTTTAATATTTTGTAAATCCCATTTAGAAAAGGTATTGTGTGTAAAAATGGTTGCCTATGGCAAAACATATGTCATCAGATCCAAACGTCAAAAGTGAATTCAAAATGAATCAAAAGTATGGTAAGACAAAGTAAATTTTCAATTTTCATAAACTACTTCAAAATTATACAAAACCATATCATATGCCAAATTTACTTTTAATTTGGTCATTATTCTTCAAATCCTAAGTAAAATCTGTGATAAACACCTTCAAAGAAAACCTAATTGCAGCTCCAATATAAATTGTTTTTTTTTGTCGAAATATTTTTTTCTATTTGGGGAAATAGTTACAACGCGTCACAATACTTTATTTGACTTGTTTTGCTCAATGTAATATAAATTTTAAATTATTCACAAAATAAAAGAGCATCATATATTACTTACTTTGAAAAAAACTGGTTCTAATGAACTTAAAATTTAACCAAAAATAATTATAAAGTTTTATCTACAACTTTTAATATTTACTACTGTTAAATTTTTGAATTCGTCAAGCGTCATTGTACATTCACAAAGCACGAAGTGCATTTTAATGACTTTAATAAAAAAAAAATTATTCTAATACCTTGCTCAAAACTTTAATATTATAATATTCCAATCGTCTTAGTAGCACATATCCATCATTTTCATATACTTCCTTTATTCACCACATTTTCTAGTTATTAACACAGGAATAAGAGACGGTTTTGAACCAAAATGTTTTGAACCAAAATGTTTATTTTATATAACCAAAATGTTATATAACCAAAATGTTTTGAACCAAATGTAGATTAATCCCCGCCATCTATGAAAAAAGCCTTGTATTCCTTTGAAACAAACTTATGCTATAGCTTTGAGTAAACCAGTAGATGTCTTTAAGTCTCCTTCACAGAACCAAATTCTTCAATCATCTTTCAATGCTTCTTTAGCAGGCAATGATACATTTGTATGAGTCTATGAGAAAAACCTAAAAATCAAAACCACATATGTTTTCTAAGATTCAAAAACCTGAATGAAACATGCCAAAAGATCATCGAAACAACTCATTGTTTTGATATATCACTCAGTGATGTAGATCGTCAGATTCACATTAAGTAAACCATTTGTTAGTCTTTCCGCAAGAACCACATAACTAGTAGATTTAACGCGGTTAGTCCATAAAACATGCCATCAAAGCAAAGCATGTATGGTGGAGATAAATAATGATGGTGAGCATTAGTTCTTCCATACATGTTATGTAGTTGAGGGTCTCCCGGATAAAATCGACACAAAGGTTTTCTTTGGTAAAATTGGTTGCAAGAACCCACATGTCGCGATATGATCGGTAGCAAATTGTGATAAGAAGATGCATTCTAGAATTAGAGAACTAAACAACAAGTGTAAAAAAACTGTAAAATGATCATCTCTATATTTGCAACAAAAGTTATCTAAATGACAATGTATCTTATAACGCAGATAACATTCCCTTAAAAATAAAAACTTTATGATAACATGTAAAATGAGTCAACAAATGTGAAATAATCAAATAAAAATAGGTATGGGAGGGTCACGTCCACGTTCAGGTTCACGTCCACGTTCAGGTTCACGTCGTCTCTTGCGATTATTATACAAAACCAAAATGTTCTTATCTCACTTTCCTTTCTATTCCCGGATTTGCCGCTTTCTTCTTCTTCTTCAACATCTCTCTCTCTCAAAATTGCCCTTTTAAAGTTGTCTCCTTTCTACGCAAAAGTGAACGCAGATCTTAATGCAGCTACTCTGATTTCGATTTTAGGGTTATTTATTATTCTAGTGATTTGATTGGCTCTTCTCAGCATCTGGGTTTTTGTAAAGGTACAATTTTTATTCTCTCTTTGGATTCGATTTGATTGATCTGCCGATTCTCTGTTTCTCCCGAGCTTTGTGGGTTGAGATCTCGATTATCCGGGAATCTTCAGTTTTGGTTTTCATCGGAGCGGTTAATCGTTGGACTCGTTAGTGTTCTTCTCTTGAAAAAGAAAAACTTTGTGGAGAATCTGATTATAGGTATAGTGTGAAGTGAGTTTGAGCTGGATTCTGTAGATTTGGTTGATGATAAAGTCTTCTACTTTGATACCATATCTGACCATAGTCTCCAGATTCTTTATAGGATCTAGTTCGATTTTAAATTATATATGCTTGCTTCAATAGTCTCTTCTTAGGTTCTTATGTTTTATTGTGTATTGATCTGGTTTCTCTGATTAAGGATTCAGCTTTTAGCTTCCTCTATTGTGTCATCGAAGACAAGATCTATTTGATTGGTTTCTTAATTGTTTAGCAGATTGAGTGCTTGATCATTATCTTTGTTTGATCTGTGTCTTTGAATATCTCCTTAGGATAAATCTAATTTGCGGCATCTCCTATTGATCCTGATAGCTTGTTATCCGAAGTTTCTTTTGGTATTGTAACAGACTTTGTGTTTGTGCAGCATTTCTTATTACTTCCACTGATTCAAACATGTGGAAGTTCAAACCGTTTGCTCAAAAAGAACCTGCGGGTCTCGAAGGTCGATTTCTCGAAATAGGAAATCTGAAAGTTCAGGTTAGAAACGTCATTGCGGAAGGAGGTTTCTCCAGTGTTTACTTAGCTCAAGATGTAAATCACGCGTCAAAGCAATATGCTTTGAAGCACATCATATGCAATGACGAGGAGTCGCTTGAACTCGTAATGAAAGAGATCTCGGTTCTGAAATCTCTCAAGGGACATCCAAATGTTGTGACGCTCTACGCACATGGTATCTTGGATATGGGGAGGAATAAAAAAGAAGCTCTTTTGGCTATGGATTTTTGCGGTAAATCTCTTGTTGATGTGCTTGAGAATAGAGGTGCTGGTTACTTTGAAGAGAAACAAGCTCTTACGATTTTCAGAGATGTGTGTAATGCTGTCTTCGCAATGCATTGTCAAACCCCACGCATTGCTCACAGGTATACATGTTGTATTATTAGATTTCCTTTCGGTTTTTAGATTAGCAAGCGATATAAATTGATTTTATATTGGTGTTGCTAATTGTGACAGAGACTTGAAGGCTGAGAATCTTCTATTGAGCTCAGATGGACAATGGAAATTGTGCGATTTTGGAAGCGTTTCGACAAATCACAAGATTTTCGAAAGAGCAGAAGAGATGGGCATTGAAGAAGATAATATTAGAAAATACACAACACCAACATATAGAGCTCCTGAGGTTTGACTGGATATGCACCTATGCAGATTATAAGAGTTTTAGAAGTGGTTAAAAATGTTTGATTTATGTCTTTATTGGCAATAGATGTGGGATCTCTTTCGAAGGGAGATGATAAGCGAGAAGGTCGATATATGGGTATGTGATGACACTTTTTTCAATTTCTCCAGATTGTTAATCTATTAGATTGAAACTTGAAAGTAAAGGTTTGTTTTTTTGTTAACTTTTAGGCTCTTGGATGTCTCTTGTTTCGGATATGCTATTTCAAGAATGCCTTTGATGGAGAATCAAAGCTGCAGATCTTAAACGGCAATTATCGTATTCCAGATTCTCCTAAATACAGTGTATTTGTTACGGATCTCATCAAAGAAATGCTTCAAGCTTCACCCGACCAACGACCAGATATTACACAGGTTAAAACTCAAATTTTTACTCATTGCTTCTTCTCAGTTGATGAAATGTGCAATGTATCTAACAACATGTTCATCTACAGATTTGGTTTCGTGTCAATGAGCAGCTTCCTGCTAATTTACAGAAATCATTACCAGATCGACCACCTGAAATGCAATCTGCTGGAGTCCATGATGGTATAGTTCATAAAACGAGTTTGGATAGCTTCTCAAAGAAATATGTGATTTCTTTTGATCCTTGTGAATTTTGACAGGCTCATCAAAATCAGCAAATAAATCTTCTCCAGCACCTCGTAGAAGTCCGCCACCGCCGCCACCATCTTCTGGAGAATCAGATAGTGGAGGACCACTAGGTGCCTTTTGGGCGACTCAGCACGCCAAAACCTCAGTTTTGTCAGAAGACAACAAAAGCATGCCTAAATTTGATGAACCAAACAGTAACACAACTAAATCTGAAAGAGTTCGTGTGGATAGTCAACATCCCAAGAAGCCTAGTCCTGTGAGAGGAGAGGTTCGTGGTATGCAAAGAAATAAAGATCTTGAAACTACGAATTCTCAGAAGGATACAACTCCTGCTGCAACGAATAACAGGACAAGAGTGTCCAAGGATGACGCCTTTAACTCGTTTGTTGCTGACTTTGATACCACGAAGCTCGATAATGGTAGTAAACCTGGAAAAGAAGAAGCGTTGGAAGCTGAGATAGAGAGGTTAAAAGACGAGTTGAAGAAAACAAATTCAGAGAAGGCTGAAATAACTGCTAAGTTTGAAAAGCTTTCTGCTATCTGCAGATCGCAGAGGCAAGAGTTGCAGGATCTCAAACAAACACTTGCCTCTAAAAGTGCCTCACCATCACCGAGCAGAGACTCTTCACAAAATCAACCTTCTCCAGGGATGCATTCCATGTCATCAACTCCATCGGTATTATCTTTGTTTTGTTCATCTAAGCTTAGACACCCATACACAAGTTTGCATCAATAAATAACTTATAATTCTAATGTTCTTGATGAAACAGAGAGATAAGATTGAAGGAACAATGTGGGAACTTCAACAGGACAGATCTAATTGGTCAAGTGGCAGCTCGGATACAAATTCATGGCAACCTTTTAGTGATGAAGCGAAACCCGTGATGGAGTCTGCATCTAAGGGTAACAATAATACGATTAATCAGTCTGTGAGAACCAGAAGTAAACCAGCTTCTGCTGCAGGTACTCAAGGTTTTGAGGCATGGGGTTTTGAGACAGAATCCTTCAGAGCCGCTGCAACGTCTTCAGCTACTACTTCTGCTTCTTCAACACAAAGATCTATGGGTTCTGGAAACAACACTTCACAGAGATATGGGAACACAAAGATGAGAGATAACCAGAAAACAGCTCAACCTGCTGGATGGGCTGGCTTCTAAAACTCACTCAGATGCTCATTACTATATCTTCCTCTTGCAACAACAACAGCTTCATGTTGCTGTCATTACAGAATCTTGAATCTTTTTTGTAGATGATGATCATCCCCTGTTTTTGTGCTGCTAAATATACCCCACCCATATCCAGTATTTTTATGTAGAGTCTTGAACTTTACACATCTGGTTCCACTTCTCTGAGCTGTGGTCAATATCTCAGCTTTTGGATTATTAAACGATAAATACCGTATTGGGAAAGAAAAAAAATATATTCAAGATTCAGACTGCTTTCTGCGATTTAGTTGTGGCTAAGGTCACATTTTAAACCAAACCTAACCAATCTAAAATTGTTCACGGATCACGGTGGTTACACTACGGTTAAGCGTTAACCAAAAAGATTTCAGGCCTATTACTAAATCAGAATTTTGAATTCCTGGATTAATTTTTGCTTAGGTCAATTTTTTTGAACATTACAATTGTGACTTGTACAAAGCTGGAATTTGAATTTTCCTTTTAATTTATTTTGGAAATGGGCTTTTTAAACTTGTAAACTTCGTTACCGGTAACCTCAAATTGAACCGGACCCGAATAGAAAAAAATAAAAGTAAGAAACCGAACCAAAACATCAAATACCGACCGATCCCTAGTTAGAAGAACATCAAGTAAAGGAGTTGGTGTCCGAAAATAAAGCTACCAAATTTTGAATCGTTGCCTTCATTTTGATTTTCCCCAAATTTCTCAGAAATCAAAAATCCTCCGCAACAATGTCCACTCCCGATCCCAATCCCAATCCATCCGTCTCCGTAGCGGTATCGAGTCCAATCGTCACCGCATCCGAATCTCCGGTGACTCAACCTAACACAGTCAAAACGCCGTCTTCTCAGCCTCAACCTTCACCACCAGCTCCGTCGTACAGAGCTATAGCTCCGCTTCATCGTCATCCTCATCCTCATCAAAATGCCTACTCTCATCCTTTACCAATTAGGCGTTCGAATTCCGTTACTAATTCGCCTCATCAGCCTCACCCAGACCCGTCTACTTTGATTTACCCGTTTGGTTCTTCGGGTCGAGGGTTTCCTACCCGACCCGGTAGACAGAATTCCAATTCCGTCGCTGATCCAGTTGGTAGTCCTGGTGGGTATCCTCCTCGACCGGTTTACGGATACCACCATGGCCAATTTGGTTCGAATTTGGATCCAATGATTCAGCAGCTCATGAGAGCTGCACATCCTCAGAATCAACAATCTCCTCAACTTGGGTCGGGTCATATGAAAGGAGTTCCTCATTTTTTGCAACCTCGGGTTAGTTATCGTTTTATTAACCAAAAAAGTTTGATTCTTTGTGTTAATTCTATAGTTTTGTCAAGTGTTTTGTTTTGTGTGCTTCATATGTTGAAGCTTTTAGCTTGTGGTGGTTAGTGAAAAGGTATGTTGAAGCTTATTTGGCTTAGTTATTGTAGAATTTGGAAAGGTTGAAACTTTCCGTTAGATCTCAGCAAGTGTTTAAGTTGTTTTTACTCTTTTGTGTGAGGTTACATTTTGTAAAATTTGGATTTTTGATTGTTAGGTTACTCCTTCTCCAACTTCAATTCTAGACAATAGTGGGCATAAGAAGGCCAGGTACTTTATCTTCTTTTCAACTATGCTTAGTTAATTAGAATCTACTCTAGAAACTTAATTATGTTTCTGTTTCTTTTCTATGGTGTTTAGGAGCCGGGATGATGCTCTGGTCCTTGTTAGAAAAAGAAAGGTAAAGTTTTCTCCTTATGTTTTGGTTTTGCATTATCGTTCGAAACTGCTTGATTCGCCATTGAGGAATTTTATATACTTTTTATTTGTTTTGCAGGTTAGAATAACCGAGGGAGCTTCTCTATACTCGCTGTGTAGATCTTGGTTGAGAAATGGTGCTCATGAGGGAATTAAGGTTCGCATCGATTTCTATTTCTGCTTTGAAGTATAATGAAGCAATTGGCATTTTATATATATATTCTTGATATAATTAAGGAGCAAGGGACTGTATCTTTGGAAGATTAATGACATTGTTTACAGCCGCAGCGAAGTGATACAATGACATGTTTACCAAAGCCTTTGCCTGTGGACATGACGGAGACAAGTTTGCCAAAAGATTTAGTTGAAGAACCAAATTGCGAAGAAGACAAAGAGGTTTCGTCTTTCTCTGATTCCTTTCTAAAATACTGATCGTGAAGAATAATGCTAAGTTCGATTATTTACTTAAAACTCTTTCGTGAGCTCAGGACGAGGAATCTGTGAAACATTTGTCAGAATCTGATCTTTTGAAAAGACATATAGACCGAGCTAAGAAGGTCCGCGCTCGGTGAGTCCCACAACATACATCAAAGCATTGTTTGGTGGTTGAAGATTGACTGTTTTTTTGTTTTGAACAAAATTTTGTGGTTTGTTTTGTTTTCAGATTGAGAGAAGAGCGGTTAAAGAGAATTGCGAGGTACAAGGCAAGATTGGCTCTTCTTCTACCACCATTTGGAGAGCAATGCAGGAACGAGTAAGGATATATTAGGGACTTCTGTGAATATTCTTGCAGTTGATTTAGAAATGATATAAAGTACCTTAGAGCCAGAGTTATGTGTGTGTAATATAAGAAAGGTTTTCTCTAAAGTAATCAACTATTTCAAGATTTTCTGAGATAGTTAACTTGTACTGCCTCTGTTTCAAAATACTTGATGTTTTAGAAAATTTTATGTTTAAATGAAGTGATGTTTTCACTTTTCTATGCTAAATTTATTAATTTTTAATGTTTTTTTGACTAGTTGTATTTTACAGTATTTTATCATTGGTTGAATTGTGCTTAGATAAATAATAAATGATATTTTTATTTAGAGAAAAATAAGAATTAAATGGTTTCTTAATATATGCACAAATATTTTAAATATCAAGTATTTTGAAAAGAGGGTAGCTCTTTATCTTGTTTTTTTTTTGTCCTTACTTTTAAAATTCATAAATTGGTTTTCCCTCTATTTGGTAGTTTTTTTTTTTTTTAATATGTGTATGTCTTATAATATAAAATGGGCATCATTAAAATTTGTTTACAAAACATTTAAAACCAACAAAAAAAGAAGAAGCAAACAATTAAGACTAAGCAAAAAGAAAGAAAGCACAAACTATTAACAATCAAGATGAGCGAATTGAATTAGGAAAATTTGCTCGGACCAATCCATTTTTTGTCTAATTTGGTGCGTCTCTATAAGAGTATTTGGTCGATCATATCTGGAGGCATACTCGATTACAACGAGGTAGTAGAGTTGGATCTTTGTGTTTGGCCAAAATTGGACGGTCGATCATTTTTTTTTCTTCAAGTGGTCGATCATGTTTTCATTCAAACACCTAGTGTAGCTTTTAAAGAAGTTATTTTTTCGGAATAATTTTGGGTCATGTTCGGTCGACCATGTTTTGAACGCTGGATCGATTACCATGTGGCCGGATGATCACAATTTGAGAGACTGATCGCCAATCCCTAGAGCAAGAACACATTTAGTCATTTGTATGCCATTTTGAATTCTCTTTAACTTATTTGTTAGTTCCAACTCCCAAATGATATGAAATGTCACAAAAACTATCAAAAACACTACAACCTAATCTAAGACGCACAAATACTCATTTGGACACTAAAGCAATATTTAAACAATAGTAAAAACTCCTAAACGAAACAGGAAAATACAAATGCAAATATCGAAAAGCAATAAAAACGGAACAATTCACTAAACCCTTTCAATTATGTTGCGGAGAAAAAAACTGTTTTGTTAGTATTGAAATGTGTTTAGAGATATCAGATTTTTTTTGTCGACAGAGATTATAGATTTAAAACAATTGTAGGTTAATCTCGTGGACCAATAGCATGAGTTGCAGAGTCAACGCAACAAAAACATCTTTCAAACACAGGTTTGTTTTGTTTTGATCGTATAATTTGGAGATTAATGGTTCTTTACGCATTCCAAACTGTCTAAACAATGTTGATATTCTTTTGGTATTTGTTACTCCAATTCTCGATTTTGGTATAATTTTAATTCTATCAATATAAGTGTTAATAGTAATAAAAGAATTGATGCTTACGTTCGTGTCTAAAACACCTGTGTAACGTTGCTTATTACATCATGAGGCAAATATATTATTCATTTTCGTGTTGAAAGCTCTTGAGAGTCTTTTTTTTTTGTCCCAAGACATTGAGAAGAAAATACTTTTTCTAGTCGTTATTTGTAACATAAATTTAGTCAGAAATGTTGACTTCAACCTACATACGTGCTTGACTCAACCTAGTTTGTTAATAAAATTATCCAAAACCATAAAAATCTTAAAAATATAAAAGAGAAGGATGTGAACGCTTCTTTTTGGTTGAGGCCAAAAAAGAAGAAAAAAAATGTGAAACAAAGATCAGAGTTCATCCAATTATTCCAAAAATCTGTTATCAGTCTTGAGCAGTTCAATTCATCTATTGAATTACTACAGTTTGAGGACTGATCATAGATAGTTCTAGAGAAAATCAATTTGAGGAGTGTTAAATTAAAATATGGAGGGAAAGTGAGAGAAGAAATCGACCTCATCAAAAGGTGTTGTAAAAGTTTCACGTTGGTATATTTAAAATTAATTTGTTGTAAGGTATATTCTTATATATTCTTCTAAATGTTCTTTTCGTTTCTAGACTTCTCTCCAGACTCCAGTTCCACTTCAGCGTTTAATAGTTTAACGTTTCCACCTCATGCATGTGTTATAAAACTATATGTTATAAAACAGTAACTTTTATAATTAAGAGTAAGTTGGTTTAACAATAAATTGAATATATTTTTTTAATTAAAATTGTAGTGAATTGATTAGTTTAAGAATAGAACCAAAACCAAGCTTAATTATTAGATTGATTCCTCACGTTTCAAAAGGGGATCTTAGGTTCTTGGCCTCACAAATACTTTTCCTTGACTCTTTCAAAAAAGACAACCTTTGACAAATCGCTTATAAATTGCATTTAATTTTACATAGATAACTGCACTCACTGTCACATGCATGTTCACAATATCTTGACTATATAATTACATTTATAAATACTAGCCTATGTGATCAAGAATTGGTGTACCAAGATTTTCTCTCAGGTGAGCATACAACAGAAAAAAATGGCGAGGAAAGGGAAAGAAGTGTTGAACGCTTTGGACGCGGCCAAAACGCAGATGTACCATTTCACAGCGATTGTAATCGCGGGTATGGGTTTTTTCACTGATGCTTACGATCTTTTCAGCATCTCTCTCGTCACCAAGCTCCTCGGCCGCATATACTACCACGTTGATGGCTCCAAGAAGCCTGGAACGCTCCCTCCAAATGTTGCTGCTGCTGTTAATGGAGTTGCCTTCTGCGGGACCCTCGCTGGCCAGCTCTTCTTCGGTTGGCTCGGTGACAAGCTCGGCCGCAAGAAAGTTTACGGTAACTTTTCCTAATTTCTTGGCCTTAAAATATGTTCCAATAGTTTATTTAGTACACTAATGAAAATCCTTTTCTTTTGGTTGTGATTAATTTATTGGAATACATAGGTATGACCTTGATGGTCATGGTACTATGTTCACTCGGGTCTGGTCTATCATTCGGTCACTCAGCTAACGGAGTCATGGCCACACTTTGTTTCTTCCGGTTCTGGCTTGGTTTCGGCATAGGTGGCGACTACCCTCTCTCAGCCACTATCATGTCGGAATACGCCAACAAGAAGACACGTGGCGCGTTCATAGCAGCCGTCTTTGCTATGCAAGGCTTCGGAATCTTAGCCGGAGGAATTGTGTCTCTCATCGTCTCGAGTGCATTCGACCATGCGTTCAACTCACCCACCTACGAAGTTGATCCGGTTGGGTCCACTGTTCCTCAGGCGGATTATGTGTGGCGGATTGTGCTAATGTTTGGAGCTATTCCGGCGTTACTTACTTACTATTGGCGGATGAAGATGCCGGAAACCGCTCGATATACCGCTCTTGTTGCTCGGAATACCAAACAAGCCGCCTCCGATATGTCTAAGGTACGTTCCTAATTCAATCATATACTAAATCATCATACTAAACCATATGGTGATTAATAACAAATTAGTGTAAAAATAATAAATTAAAAATTCATAATTATTATTTACACAACAGGTGCTTCAAGTGGATCTAATTGCAGAAGAAGAAGCACAATCAAATTCAAATCCATCATCTTCTTCATCAAACCCTAATTCCTCCTTCGGCTTATTCTCCAGAGAATTCGCTCGCCGTCACGGTCTCCACCTGCTTGGAACAACTACCACATGGTTCCTCCTCGACATCGCCTATTACAGCAGCAACCTCTTCCAAAAAGACATCTACACCGCAATCGGATGGATTCCCGCCGCCGAAACAATGAACGCAATCCACGAAGTCTTCACCGTCTCCAAAGCTCAAACCCTAATCGCTCTTTGCGGCACCGTCCCTGGTTACTGGTTCACCGTCGCATTCATCGATATACTCGGTCGATTCTTCATCCAGTTGATGGGATTCATCTTCATGACGATCTTTATGTTCGCTTTAGCGATTCCTTATGATCATTGGAGACATAGAGAGAATCGAATTGGTTTTTTGATCATGTATTCGTTGACGATGTTTTTCGCGAATTTTGGACCTAATGCGACGACGTTTGTTGTTCCTGCTGAGATTTTTCCGGCGAGGTTGAGATCGACTTGTCATGGGATATCTGCGGCTTCTGGTAAGGCGGGTGCGATTGTTGGAGCTTTTGGGTTTCTTTACGCGGCGCAGAGTTCTGATTCGGAGAAGACTGATGCTGGTTATCCTCCTGGGATTGGTGTTAGAAATTCGTTGTTGATGCTTGGTGGTGTTAATTTCTTGGGGATTGTTTTCACTCTGTTGGTTCCGGAGTCGAAAGGGAAGTCTTTGGAAGAGATTTCGAGAGAAGATGAGGAACAGAACGGCGGAGATGCGGTGGTGGAGATGACTGCAGCAAATTCCGGTAGAACAGTTCCGGTGTGATTCTTTTTTTTGTTATACGCATTTTGTAATTTTGATATATGAAAGTCCTTTGAATAAAGATTTTAGATACTCAATATATATCAGATAAACAGTTTTGCTGGAATTCTTGCCGCCAAAATACTCTGTGAATTGGAAAGTATTGTCACTTTAAAGATACAAATCTTACTTCCTATAGAGTACCATTGATGTTTTTGGAAAGACAGATTCATGAGTCTATTAGTCTGTTAAAGACCAATTTATGCAAGAATGCCTTCACATGCAAGTCATATTCCTCTGTCTTTGTCCAGTGTCAAGGAGCTTTGCAGTCAATAAACCTGTCAAGATACCAACTCTCAGGGACTATTTCTAAAGGACTTGAGACACTCTCGTTTTTGTCGTACTAAATGTGTCTCATAACAACATCATAAGCAACAAGACGACGAAGAGGAAGAATTGCTGAACTAGAAACCAGTGGCGATAAGAATGGTTCATCAAGATAAATGGTTCGTATAAAACCATTAGGTTCAATTCTTGGTTTGTGTTTCAGCATTGAATACCTACCAGACCAAATGGTTTTATTTGGTTTTAGATTCTTGTGTAAACCTCAAAAAGGGAAAAGTTATATCAAAACCAAACCACAAACCAGATGTTTATCCCTATTATATAAACCACAAACATGTTACCAGAAAATATCAAGTGTATCAGTTTCAGTTTGCTACTAAGGACTTTACTCTTTGTGTTACTTAGGCCTCAAGTTCGTTTTCTCTTGTCTTCTCTGTTTTACATTACGGACTCTGTTTTATGATGATAGCGATGGAACAAAAGAGAGAAGAGCTCCATTATGCACAAGAATTAATTTCCATTATATATAGTTGCTTTTCATGTCGTTCAAATTAAACTCCATTTTCATGAATTTGCATAAACAAAAGAAAAACACACTCCACTTATGAAAATCCTTATATAATATATTCACAACTCATTAACTCATAACATTGTTTGCTTTTAAGTAATGGAATTTAATAATTGGCAACTACACTACTCTACTTTACCAAACGAATAAACAACCAAAACTTTCAAGTCACAATCCTACTAATTTCCATCCCTTGTCTTCCGCAGATTATCTGATGACACAACTCAGTGTTCTTGATCTCTAATGTTCTGCCTCCAATGGTGAAGAAGCGCTAATGCGGAATTGCATATCTTTCTATCTTTGTGCTTTGTGAGACGCTCAAGCTTCACCATGATTTGTCTTGTTTCACTAGCTGTTGAGATGATGGGGAATTCCATGAGTAAAGAGAGAGTATCCACGCATATTGATGCCTCTTCTTTAGCCGCGAGAATTCCCTTTGCATTGGCAACATCAGCTGACTTCTTGGCCATATCGAACAGCTCCAACATCTCCGTTGAGTTCTTCTTCAAGAAAGGACAAGTTTTAGGGTTCTCAAATGCTTTCACCAGTTGATGCTTCTTCAACTTGAGAGGAGGCCTTGATGAATCTTTCATTGGTAGAGCCGATGGCTTCTTCTTCTCGATAGTCCTCATCAATGCAAAAGACTTGCAATCACCAATTTGTTTCATCTCTCCGGTTTCATGAACCTGAGATCTCTTATCTTCGTTCTTTTTCATCCCACAAAAACCAGTCTCTTTCTTACTCTTAACCGCAAAGCCATAAGATAGTTGATCTTCTTTCTTCTTCTTCAACTCCGAACACACTTTAACAACACCAACTTTCTTCAGTTTCAGGGGAATAGCTTTGTTGCAAGTAGAAGAGTTTCGTCCACTGGAATAAAGAGTCTTCATCCATGAGTTGAACAAGACGTTAGCTTCCATTCGTATCTTAGGGTTTTCGTGATCCCTTAGACTCTCCAAAGGAAGTATCACTTTGGAATGGGAAAGATCTTTGACCGAGAGATTCAAACTCTTCATGTATCGAAGAACATCAAAGCAACGTTTAAAATCAGAAACATTCTGTGAATTAGCAGCTCTAGTTGCAGCAGATACCAAACGAGGAAGTTCTGATCTCTCTGTTGCAAACACAATTTTCATCATCTTCTTCTTCTTCAAGTGTTTCTCCGTTGATCTTTAGGGTTAAAAACTCACAACTTTGGATATCAAATTATGGAAAGTTAGAGAGGTATTGTTCGTGTATTGGATAGTATATAGACTGTAGAGATTAAAAAAAAAAGGAAATATATGGAAGTTTCCTTTTGTCCCAAGAAAGTTATCCTAAACAAAGACTCAGTTGGACTGGAAAACGACGTCGTTTGTGACAAAGATCTTGTTGTTGCTTCATTCATTAATTGTGTTTTTCTTACGTCACAGACTTACAGCTGTCAAATTATATTTACTGTTGTTAAATTTACTTTATTCTGGGGCTATGTAGCACTTTTGTAAACTTTTGGGAAATTATAGAATTTAGTAGAAATACAAGGGTGTCATCCGTAAAAGGATTACAAGCTTGGGGAAGTTCTTCGTCTTCCTTGATACATAAAAAGGAAAATCTGTGGACTTTGATGAGCTTTACTTCAATGGCAGAGTCAATTCGAATTTTTTCGCTTCAATGGCAGGTACTGTCTCTGATCATGGCTTTACTTGTGTATTTTCCGATCGTCTCAGGAAGTTTCTTTAAACCGTTCAATGTGAGCTACGACCACCGGGCTCTAATCATCGCCGGAAAACGACGCATGCTCGTCTCCGCTGGAATTCACTACCCTCGAGCCACTCCTGAAGTACCTATTGCTTTCACCGACCTTTCTGTTTTCAGTAGCTCAACAATTTCTGATAGTTTTGTTGAAATGCTGATATAGAAGAATTGGGATTGTTAATTGATTTTCCAGATGTGGTCTGATCTTATCGCAAAGAGTAAAGAAGGTGGAGCTGATGTGATTCAAACTTATGTGTTTTGGAGCGGCCACGAGCCTGTAAAGGGTCAGGTTTGGCCAAAGTTTCTCTCTGTCTTGATTTTTGTGATATCTCTCAGCAGTTAAAACTGGAAATTTTGATTTTTTATTTTCTATGGCTTGTTCAGTATAACTTTGAAGGAAGATACGACCTTGTCAAATTTGTGAAGCTTATTGGTTCAAGTGGTCTTTATCTCCATTTACGCATCGGTCCTTATGTTTGTGCTGAGTGGAACTTTGGGTATTTTCTTCTTCACAACCATTGGTGTCTCTTGATTTTCTTTGTTATTCAGCTCTCTCTTATTCTTTTTTATTTCCTTCAATTCATGTTAGGGGGTTCCCAGTGTGGTTGCGTGATATTCCTGGCATTGAGTTTCGAACAGATAATGAGCCTTTTAAGGTACATTTTTTATTTGAATGCTCATTTCACATTTTCTTTGTTATTGTACTTTCTAAGTTGTGTTTTTAATTTTGTTATCATCTAAAGATTATCATAGCTTTTCTGTTTGCTATTTTCCAGAAGGAGATGCAGAAGTTTGTAACGAAGATTGTGGATTTGATGCGAGAAGCAAAGCTCTTCTGTTGGCAAGGAGGTCCCATAATCATGCTGCAGGTCATTTGAGAATTTTGTATTTTTTTCAACTTTATATCCAAATCAGTGAACTTTCTTTCTTTTTATAGTCTTCCTATAAAGGTGACGATTATGCGTATGTTGGTGACAGTCTCTGGCATTCTTTCTTCGCTGACATAACTTGTCTGCCCTCTTAATTGAATGTTGTAAAATTAATGTAGCTTGTTGAATGAGAATGCCATCGACTGAAATATTCTTATACAGATCGAGAATGAATATGGGGATGTTGAAAAATCGTATGGGCAGAAGGGAAAGGATTACGTCAAATGGGCAGCTAGCATGGCGCTAGGGCTTGGTGCTGGTGTTCCATGGGTTATGTGCAAGCAAACGGATGCTCCAGAGAATATTGTAATATTGCTAACTTGAGTTTTGTGTATTAAGATGTCTCTGCTTTTAGATGACTTCTAAACCAATTTCCATTGATTTCCTTTAGAATTTAAAAAGGGTTTATCTTTCAGTTCATAATATATGATTCCCTGTTCTCTAAAACCATCCTTTTGACGTCTGTTAATCTCTTTTTGTCTCAGATTGATGCATGCAATGGATACTATTGTGATGGTTTTAAACCAAATTCGCAGATGAAACCAATACTTTGGACTGAGGATTGGGATGGATGGTATGTTTTTTGTCATGCAGTCTTCTGACAACGCTTTGCTCTTATCAAAGAAGTGTTTTCTTGAAGTTTTTGTTTCAAGGCCAATGTACCAGTTGGCCTTAATTGTTATGTTAATTGGTATTTGGACTAAATGAGTATGTTAGGTTGACTTTTTGAAGGTACACGAAGTGGGGTGGAAGTTTGCCTCACCGACCTGCTGAAGATCTTGCATTTGCAGTTGCAAGATTTTATCAGCGTGGAGGAAGCTTTCAGAATTATTATATGGTACAATAATTACACACTAGATTTTTTTATATCTCTTTTTCACTTTCTCCTGCCCAAGTTCATTTGCAGCAGCATCTTGCTATTTACTTTACATCCCTCTCGGTAGAACCCTCAAAAGGCGAACTATGTAGGAGATACTTTACGCAACTTGCAGAACTTGTTTTTACTCAACTTGATTATAGAATGCCATATTGAGTCTGTTTTATGGTTGCAGTATTTTGGTGGAACAAACTTTGGTCGAACTTCTGGTGGTCCTTTCTATATTACAAGCTATGATTATGATGCTCCTCTTGATGAATATGGTGGGTAAAAGCTAAGGCTAGCAGGGAAGCAGATTGCTAAGAAAAAACTTATTTTTCTAATGAAATTTTGTTTGTCATATACTAAGGTCTGAGGAGCGAGCCAAAATGGGGGCATCTAAAGGACCTTCATGCTGCCATAAAACTTAGTGAACCTGCCCTTGTCGCGGCGGATGCACCTCAATATAGAAAACTGGGATCAAATCAGGAGGTGTTATCCTACTCCCAAATGCTTGTTTCATATAGTGACATTAGTAGAGCTCACTCTTCTTATCTAGTTAGTTTATAATAGACTAGTGCTGTTAGATAGATTTCCTACCAGTTTGATTCTTACTCTACTTTACCTGTCAAGATCTTCACTTAGTTCTGATTTTAGGATAGTCTTCATTGCCATCTATTGGATGTTTTCAAAGGTTTTCATTGTTTAATTGTACGTATAGATATGATTTATCTACTGACCAAAATACTGGGCTGTTATTTGATTACCTTTTAGAATGAATATGAGGTTTAATATTATATATGCTTAAGATTCCAGATTCTTACTTGTAAATAACGCAAATTCCAGGCACACATTTATCGTGGAGATGGTGAGACTGGAGGAAAGGTGTGTGCTGCATTTCTCGCAAACATTGATGAGCATAAATCTGCACATGTGAAATTTAATGGCCAGTCATATACTTTACCACCTTGGTCAGTGAGTATATTGCCAGACTGTCGACATGTGGCCTTCAACACTGCCAAGGTTTGATTTCCATTTCTACCCGTATTGTAAATTTTTTTGACTGGTAATTGCTTGTGCAATTCTGAAAAGGTTTTTGTTGGCAGTTTTAGCACATTCAGTGATATGCTTCTTTGTGACTGAATTCTTAAAAAACTGTCAATGTTGGAAACTAATAATAACAATGAAAGGAAGGTGACACCCGTCAAATATCGTTGCTGTGAACTTGACATGTCTGTCTTAATCAGGAAATTGTCTTTTTTATTTGCTTCAGATAGTAGTTGCCACATAAGATGATTGGTTTTGTCTGTTCTTGAGCAGGTAGGAGCACAAACTTCTGTTAAAACGGTGGAGTCTGCAAGGCCATCTGTAGGTAGTAAGTCTATACTGCAAACAGTCGTGAGGCAGGATAATGTTTCTTATATCTCAAAATCATGGATGGCTCTGAAAGAACCTATTGGCATATGGGGTGAAAACAATTTCACTTTCCAAGGATTATTGGAGCATTTGAATGTTACAAAAGACCGGTCTGATTACCTGTGGCATAAGACAAGGTAGATATGCGGAGTTGTCTATTTCATGATCTAACTAACAACAATCATTCAAGGGAAAGAATTCCGAAAAGATAGATACTCATGATGCTTTTACATCAAAATTTGACTGAATTAGTTATTGTCTGTTGTATGTATACTTTGCCAGTTCAATATGCTAGAGGAATTTGGTACTGTGAAATCTATGACATTTACTAATTCTTTATCTTTTATCTGTAATGACTTTTTCCTTCTTTCTCAACCAAATGTAGAATAACTGTATCTGAAGATGATATCTCGTTGTGGAAGAAAAATGGAGCTAATCCAACAGTGTCAATTGATAGCATGAGGGATGTGTTGCGTGTGTTTGTTAACAAACAACTCTCAGGTAATTTACAACACTCTCTCCTGCTTTTTATGCATATCTGTAATTGTACAAATGCACTGCTCCTGTATTTCGTCTGTGCGTGGTTGTGTATACTGGCTCTTGTGGTTCGCTGTGTCTATCTACACAAGAGGGTCACATTGCATTCATAAAGTGCAAAGCTTTGTAAATTGTTTTCTCCCATCTTGCGCTAACTTTGTCCTCCTGCTGAGTGGAAGTAAAGGCAGTGTTGTTGGTCACTGGGTGAAGGCAGTGCAGCCTGTACGTTTTATGCAGGGAAACAATGATTTACTTCTGTTGACTCAAACAGTTGGTTTACAGGTTAATATCTACTACCTAATTTCTCCTTTTATCTTTTTTCTTACAGCTAATTGTGATCATTTTCGACTTTGTGGCACAGAATTATGGTGCTTTCTTGGAGAAGGATGGAGCCGGTTTTAGAGGCAAAGCAATGCTTACTGGATTCAAGAATGGAGATATGGACCTGGCTAAATCTTCATGGACCTATCAGGTGTAGTTAAGGTGTACAATATATGGTTTTTATAAGAGTCCTAAGAAAGATGAACGTTGTGGATTCATTTTTTCTTTCTGTCGCTATATCTGAAATCTGAAGGTTATTGTGGAAGCATTTGAATATGTTGGCGTTTGTTGTAGGTGGGATTGAAGGGCGAGGCTGAGAAAATATATACTGTTGAACACAATGAAAAAGCTGAGTGGAGTACTTTGGAGACTGATGCTTCACCTTCGATCTTTATGTGGTACAAGGTAAATCTGTGAAACATGTTGGCGTTTTGTTTTTTGTTTCTCCGAAGACGAAGATATTTTTTTATTGCCCTCCCTTATTTATCTAGTGATCTTTGTTCATTTGTTTTCTCCTTATTGAATTAGACATACTTTGACACCCCTGCCGGAACAGATCCTGTTGTTCTTGATCTAGAAAGTATGGGAAAGGGACAAGCTTGGGTCAATGGACACCATATTGGAAGGTATTGGAATATCATTTCCCAAAAGGATGGATGTGAAAGAACCTGTGATTATCGTGGAGCCTACCATTCAGATAAGTGCACAACAAATTGTGGAAAGCCTACACAAACCAGGTAATGTGCATGTAATAACTCCTCAATAACTATTATAACCCATGGTACTGACATAATATCATTGTTCAGGTACCATGTACCACGTTCATGGTTAAAGCCGTCCAGTAATCTACTTGTGCTCTTTGAAGAGACTGGGGGAAACCCATTTAATATATCGGTTAAGACAGTCACTGCTGGGATTCTGTGCGGTCAAGTCTCGGAATCGCATTATCCACCTCTGCGGAAATGGTCCACACCAGCTTACATAAACGGAACGATGTCGATAAACAGTGTGGCACCAGAAATGTATCTGCATTGTGAAGATGGGCATGTAATATCCTCCATAGAATTTGCTAGCTATGGGACTCCAAGAGGTAGCTGCGACAGGTTTTCTATCGGGAAATGTCATGCATCCAACTCATTATCAATCGTGTCTGAGGTAAAGTTATATTAACTAGAAGTTGGTATTTAAGCATACTTCTACCTGCAACATTGGCAACCGATTCAAACATACGAAGGAATCTAAAAACCGATGACAGGAAACCTAACCCCAATTTGATAATTTAAAGTTGAGCTTATGATGATCCTAATTTCTTAAGCAAGCTAGTAGAAAGATTTTGGTTACAAATTGTTGACATATAGCTCTAAACTAGGTTCGTAGCAATTGCGTAATATGACTGTTGCGACTATCCAAAAAAGTCTTTGATCTCTTCTGCAGGCTTGTAAAGGACGCACCAGTTGCTTCATCGAAGTGTCAAATACTGCTTTTCGCAGTGACCCATGTAGCGGAACTTTAAAGACGTTAGCGGTTATGGCACGATGTTCCCCGTCTCAAAACACGAGTGACCTCAGTTTTTAGACACCGGAAAGCGGCTCAGAACGATGAACAGCTGTTTCTCGAAGAAACAAGAGACCATTGATGAAAGAAGAACATGTCCCATCACAAGCTTTATTTGACCTTTAAATATCAGAGTCTGAACTCTAAACAATTGTGTTTGCTCTTGTTCATTGGTGTATCCAAACTCTACTTGGAACCAATAAACAGACGAAACCATCTCTTAAGGTTTCTGCTTGTACAGTATATTGTTTGAATATAAGAAAATAGTCGAAGTTGATGTAATGATTTAGATCTCAGTGGTTTTAAATGCAAATATTTATGTTTATCTTTGCTTTAACTCTTATCTTTTACGTTTAATATTGCAAACAAAGTTAATTTTTGTATGTTTGTGTTTATTTAAAGTTTTTCACCGTTTAAAATACAAAAATCTTTACAATTTGTTATGTAACCAAAAAAATTGCTGGCATATTCACAAACCTTCCAAAAATTGATTTATCTATTTTAAATATTATTACAGTCAATAAAACAAACTATCAACAAAAAAGAAAAAAATAAGATGTTTATGACAAATGAACTCCATGAATATGCATTCTTCCCTGGCATATGTAACAACATAACTTTGTTAACCAACTCTTGTCTGATTATAAATTTCGGAAACATTGTATACAAAAATTACTCACTAATTCTTGTAGCATTTTTTTTTTTTGTGCAAAGAGCACAAAAATAGTTAAGAATAAAATTTACAACAAAAAAAATGGTTGCATACAAGAAGAGTGCATACAAGAAGAGTCCTATTGTTTTCCTATTTGCTACGATGATGATTATATTATTTATGTTTTGTGGAAGTGGAGAAGCAAGAACATTAGGGTACGGAGCTATTAAAGGAGGTCAAATTCCATGTGGCTATAAAAACCCCAATTCATGTGTCAAGAAGGAGGGAGTGGGGTCACATGACCCCTATAAATTTTATATATTAGTTATTTTTAGTTTAAATTTGATTGAATTTGAGGAAATATTTGGTTAAAATTAGTGTTTGACCCCTATAAATTTTTGTTCTAACTTCCAAATGACCCCTTTAATTCATATAATTTTTCAATTTATTGTTCATCATAATTTTTTATTATTATTTTGACCCCTATAAAACTTGTTTCTAGATCCGCCACTACAACCAGTTAACCATTACCATAGAGGTTGTGAAAAACTTACCAGGTGTGCTCGTGATGCTGACTCCTTCCATGTCGATGAAACATTTATTAATCTCCATTGAAATCGAATCTTTACTCTCGTTGATACTACAAAAGATTCATATATTCTGTGAGTATATGCATATACCTAATTATCATTCTATTAAATGTGAAAGAGTATTATTTTATTAATTTGTGTTCTTATGTAAAGTCACTAATTGTTGTCTTAAATTTTTATGATTTTTTCCGAGATTATTTTATTTATTTGTTTATAAAATATTTAATGAAAATATAAATTATGTGTGACTACTCTTTCTCTAGATGTGTCTTAAGGAATCAAAGGAAAAAAAAACAAAAATTTTGATGACAAATTATTTTGTGATATGAATGAAATTGTGGTTTAGATGTTTTTTGTCCAAAAATTTTTAATGGAACCAAAAATCCTTTTTAAAATAATAAACAAAGATAAATTACATGAACATTCCTAACATTTCCCTTAAGCATTTACTCAACCATTTGCTCAATGAATCCCAAGCGCTTGCATTTGTCTAATCATCAACATAGACGAATCATACATTTGCTTGCGACTAACGTCACCTTCCTTTCCTCCTTCCTCTTCAAAGAACCTCTCGCTTCCATCCAATATACTCACAACTTGGCTAATGCTAGGCCTTAACTTCGGATCAGTTCGCGTGCAAACCAACCCTAACCGTAATAGCCTTGTCAATTCTCGAATCTCGTACTCATCATCCAAATGAATATCTGCAATCTCCTCCAAGATTTTTTTCCGGTTACCAACTACTTCGCGGATTCTCAACACCAAAAGAGCATCTTCCTTTTTCCTCTTGTAATCCACTGCGGGCTGCCCCGTAACCATCTCGAGCACCACGACGCCGAAGCTGTATACATCTGCCATGGTTGTAGCCTCGCCTGATTCCATATATTCTGGTGCCATATAACCGAAAATCCCTTGAGCGGATCCTTTCTTTTTTGTAGCTTGATGAGCTTTGTCGTTTCTAGACAAAAACTCTGCCAATGCGAATCCGCAGAGCCGCGGATTCATGTCTCTATCAAGAAATATAGTTGAAGAAGTAATGTTTCGGTGAATGACTTGTTCGTCCCATTCCTCGTGGAGGTAACGTACTGCGCAAGCAAGCGATTTTATCACGTTGTACCGACTTTTCCATCGCAAAACAGAGTTTCCCGGCATATGGTTATGGAAAAGAAGATGACTTAGCTTACGATTCGCGGAATAATCGTATACTACAAGCATTTCTCCGTGTTCTGTGCACCATCCACGGAGCATAACTAGGTTACGATGTCGAAGCCGGCCTAGGTTAAGTAGTTCCGTGGAGAACCGTGTAACAAGCGCCGGACATTTAGTCATACCGAGACGTTTCACCACAATATGTTGGTCTCCGTTGAGTAAACCATAATAAGCCGTACCGAAATCAACCTCAGCAACGCGACGAGCATCGGAGAAATTATCAGTGGCTAAAACGAGGTCGTTGTATGAAATCTCCCTTGGCGTGTCCAATACGAAAGACTTTGATGACGTCACTCTCCGGCTGTTGTAGTTGAAGTACCGATTTTCTCCAGTCTCCGCCGTCTGGTAAATGGAATCCTCAAGGGCAGTAACGTAATTTGACAACGGTGTTGACTCGGAAGACGCGTTGAAGCTAGTTGTTGAGGTGGTGGTGGTCGTCGTTGTTCTGGTGGTCGTCGTCGTCGCCGAAGTTGAGGTTGATTTTAGAGAAGATAAAGGAATATAAAGAGGATGGCTCTTAAACGAAGGTAACGCCGGTAAGTTACCGGAAAACTCCCCGGAAAGTGCTCCGATCACCCATTTCATATTGGGACGATGCGTTGGGTTGTTTAAAGAACAGAGCAGAGCAAGATGAATCATTCTCTTCATATCAGAGTTATCGTAAGATCCTTTTAGTAACCGAGAATCTCCGGCGTCGAGTAATTTCCGGTTATCGGATAACCTCCGAACCCAATCAAGCAAAATGATTTTATCTTCAGAGAACGAAAGATCAACGGCACGTCTACCGGAGACAATCTCTAAAACCACAACACCGAAGCTGAAAACATCTGTTTTAGCGGTGGCGACGGTTTTTTTCCGGAAACTCTCCGGCGGTAAGTACCCGATAGTACCACCGATCCGAGTCGAATCCGCGACTCGGAACTGGTGGTTACGGAAGGAAGAAACAGAGTCGTAACTCGAATCAGGCTCTGTTTCATCAATCTTGTGTTCTAACCACCGAGCTAATCCAAAATCTCCGAGTTTAGCGTTAAACTCTGAATCCAACATAACGTTACTCGTCTTCACATCTCTGTGAATAATCTGAGTCTCTAACTGCTCGTGAAGGTAGAACAACGCGGCGGCGAGTCCTTTGACGATTTTACCCCTCCGATCCCAATCCAACGGTTTAAAATCGGAGTTAGCTTCCGGCCGTCGGAAAAGCACACGATCTAAGCTCCGATTAGGCATGTAATCGTAAACAAGAAGTAACTCGTCTTCGTGTAGACACCAGCCTCTTAACTTCACAAGATTCCGATGCCGGAGCTGAGCCACCGCAACAAGCTCCGCCGCAAAAGTTTTCTCGAACTGCTCTCCTTTCTTCTCCGCCAAGCATTTAACAGCAACGGTCGTTCCGTCGCTTGGTAACACCGCCTTGTAAACACGGCCGAATCCGCCGCTTCCGAGGATCAGTTCGTCACTGAAACCATTAGTTCCGATGTAAAGCTCAGAGTATCCAAAGATTCTTGGATTCTCGCAACCGACTTTGCTAGAAAGTTGAACACCTTCCATGTCCGTGAAAGATTTATTAATCTCCATTGAAATCAAATCTTTACTCTCGTTGATACTACAAAGATTATTCAAGCTCTTCACAAATTTGGAGCCGTGTAATCGCCGGAATATATCTCCGATCAAACTCACAACTTGACGTCCACAATCACGACTCTTCTTCTCCTCCTCTTCTTCTTCTTTGGTCTCTTCGACCATCGCCGGTGGCTTTAACTCGCCGGATTCTGTCGGTAGTACGAAACAGAGACGATCCATAGCCATTGGCGCCATGTGAATGTGTAAATGTCGAAATGTGAATGAATTTAAAGATGTGATAATGCTTTATAACATTTTGTGACGATCTATTTGACCGACCAAAATTGAATGATGGGTTTTCGCCAACAAGGATGTTTATTTATAGATGTGTGTTCTTTCTAGAAATATACTATGTAATTTTAATTTATTATCTTTAAAAGTGTTTGTATTATTTGAAATATAATTTGAAGATTGGAGACATTAATTTCAACAAGATTAGGTTCGCGTGGTTTGAATATAGCCAACCCCTTAATCGGGTTTGGTCATTTATGGTGATGTGTCATGGCCCAGGATTCTTCATTTTTTGGTATAAAGTTCCTTTCTTTTTGTTTTATTCTTAGTTCTAATTGATTTTTCAACGATAAATTTTTTAAAACCCCCATTGATTTCGCGAAAATGATTTTAACTTTGAAACTATATATGAGATATGTATACGAAAAATGAGATAAATGTATTTATTTACGTATGGAAAAAATGAGACCGAAAAGACATTCAAAGCGTGTCGTCGGGAAGAACATTGACGCGGTCGAAACTTTGTCTTCTTCTATTTTTTTATTTTTTTTCTTCCTAAATTAAATTCTAACTTTTTACTACTTTTTTGTTCAAGGACGTGTAATGCATTTGAAAATAATTACGCGCTAGTTTTTAATGTTTTATAGGTTGGATTTTTCTTCAATCTTATGGGTTAAATTCATATTTTAAATGTGATTTATATACCTATCAGCAAGAAGTCAGGGATAAAAGTTTTGGTCCAGCCTTTCATGATAATATCATACTTGAGCAATTGAGAAAATAATGACATGATCAACCGTGTAACAAAAAAATGACAACAAACATGAACGACATTCTTAGTTCTGGATTTTTCGGATACTTTTTAGGTCCGAGAATCAAAACATGCATGTCACAACATTCTCAAATATAATGCTACACTAAATTCAAACTTTGATGATATTTATCATTTGTAGCGGGTCCAATATAATTTTATTCACATAGTTCTTGAGATCGCTTCAGTACTCGTATTAGTTTCAGATGTTTTGAAGATTTTCCGGTGCTTTAGTTTGGCCATTGGGTCTTCAAGACCGATCTTGGTTGAGAAGACTTTAGATAAAATTATACTTTCAGATGTATACGCAGATGAATGGTTTAGATATTAGCAGTGCTGGATATTAGACAATATACTTTTGTGTTTTTCTAGAGACTACTTGTCTTTGTTAAAATATTTTTAAAAAACGTCCAGACTATTTTGGAGTCTGTTTTATATGCTGGTTTGAATTCGATAATATTAATGACTAATAAAATAATCAATTGCGAATATTGTTCTAGTAACGTTTTGAATCCTGACTTCTTTATATTTTAAAACTAATTAGTTAAAAAAATCTTCATTATAACCAATGGTTTTAAAATTCACTGTATTGTTTTCAGTTAATTACAAGTATTAAGACCTTGACTATTATTCTTTTGGTGAACACATATCCTTCAGCAAATTAGATTTCGTAAGTCAAGTAGTTTTCTTCCCAGCAATCAAGTAGTTCAGAAGTATTATTTGATTCTGGTGAGAATTTGTTGTTGAATTATGACCAAGTAACACTTATATAATTTTTTACTGCCAGTTTTTACCATTTACTGATATATATATATATATATATATATATATATATATATACATATATATATATATATATATATGATTGTAACGTTAATTAACCAAAGTAAAAAACCAGATGTACGAACGTAACACAAGGGAGCTTGAGTTGAGTGGAGGAAAGTGGAGGACAAACATGAGTAAGATGTTGATATAAAATAGAAAATGGTAACCAAAGTAATTATGATTATATTCTTTGATTAAACCCCAATATTACGAGGGATTAATGGATTGTCAATCAAATCCGCCCCACCATAAACGTTTCATCTATATATAATCTTGATTTATGACATCAAAACACATGTAATTATCTCCCAATCACTCATGTCGAGTTCATGTCTCTTAAATGATCAACACTTTATGAAAATGAAAAGACCCTAAAGTCAACAATTTGTATTTCTTTGGAAACATTAAGATCCAAATTCATTTACTTGTCCTAAATTACTCTTCAATGATGGTAAACTTTCCACAGATATCCAACACATGTACTATATATAAATTAAACCAATCATAACAAATTTAGAATTAAAGAAATTTTAAAATTGTAGTGCACACTTGCTCTTTCAATATTCGACTTGGATGCCTATAATAAACAGCCGCATCAAAAAGTTGATTGTTGCATTCACATATTCACTAATTTAAAAGTTGATTAGTACTGTATCTGAATATTTTTTTGTAACAATTTAAACATATCATATTGATTTTTTCTTTCTTTCTAAATACTGCCACCTAGCCTCTAAAAGAAAATGAAAGCTTTGGTGGCCGCAACAAATGGCGTGATCAGTGTCGTGTTTTTTTTTTTTTGGGCATCCGTGATGACTACTAGTATTTATCAAGAGTTTCAATGAAAGATTTATCTTTTACGTATTTAATATTTATCTGTTTTTTAAGAATTATTATTGGTTATCTTCTTCCATTTATCAATTGTTTTGTAACTGGAGAAGTCAATATTTGAACAGTTGGAAATTGAAAAACTTTAAAGGATTCAACGGACATAATGCAACCATAAATGCAAAAAGATAAGGTGGCAATGTATATTAAACAAAAAAAAAGAGCTTAGAAAGATAAGATTGCTACTTCAAAAGATAGGTAATTGATATAGGAACTAAACAATATAATCATTATGTAATATATATGAAATTGGGAAGAGATTGGTGAATAGAAGATTCAAATTTTCATATTAATTATTTTCAAATTATATACTTATATATAGTTTGTTTTTGTTAAAGTAGATAAAATAAACACTATCTTCTTTTCTTTTATTTATTTTGCAATAAATGGACTAGCTGGAGAGGTTGGGTGATGTCGTTGGCCTACCTTATTTTGTTCATCAATTTTTTGTTTGCTTTCATTTTCATAGCCCACGAGAAGATTATAGTTTTGGAATCTCTTAGTGTAATTGTTACAACTGCTACTCACTCATGCTTTGATCCGAATAAGTATGACCTTTTTGGCCAATTATTTCAACTATATTTTTATAAGTTTAAATGGGTTAATTAAAGATGCTAATTTTTCAATCATCTTTTCGCCACTCATATATACTCCTTAGATTGTTATCCACCAGATTCTCATCTTTATTTTATTTTTTAATAACCAGAGTCTCATCTTGACTTGACAAATATATTCTCCCTTCCCTTCATTTCTTTATACTAGTATTTTATAAAGATGATGATCTATAAATCTTACGAGGTTTCTACTGAATCTAGATAAATTAAACTAATATGTCTTGTAAGTAAAATAAACAAACAAAAAGCTGAACTAATCTATCCAAACCGAGGAAACAAAATCTATCAGAAAACTAAAATGAGTTGGTAAACCTAAAATCTATCAGAAAACTAAAATCTAGATCTAAAAATTCAGTACAAAACCGTACTGAATTTTTAAAGAAGTCTAAAGATAGTTGATTCGATTTTACATGTGTAACTAGTTTTCGCGACAAAAAAATGCAAGTAATATACATTTTTTAAAAGGTTAAAGTAGTGCATGGTATACATTATACGTAGTTTCGTGGTTTGTTCATATACTAAAGATCCAAATCTGTAATACATTTTGGTTTAATTCACGGTATAAAACATCAAATAATAATAATGTATATGTGGTCGACAATTCTCAAACAAACATCCTGAGAAAAAACATCAGAATCTTGGTAATTAGGTGAAACTTAAGAGAGACAATTCTGATAGTACGAGAAGTTTGACAATATGGTACATGAGGATGTCTTAGTGCTTTATTGATTTATATATTATTCATCAAACGAAACGATAAAACTGGTTACAATCTTTTTTATAGTAAAGTGATTGATTAATTATTTATAAATCTTATTTTTTCATAGTACTACTATAAATTATATGCGTGTGACTGCCAAATATGGGTGCATTTTCACATATAAAATAACTATTACTAATTTGAAATATAAAAGTAAAAACATTTCAAATTGTTCCGCGATAATATATAATTACAAACGATGAAGAAAACATACACCTACTTCCAACTAAAATTGGCTTTACCGTGACTGAAGCTCACATTTTTGCAATATAAAAGACAAAACCCTATATTAGCATTGACTTTAAGAATGCTATTTTTAAAATTCAGAAAAATTGTAGCGAAAAAACATTCAAATTGACAAATGGTTTATGAATCAGTGGCGGAGCCAGGATTGTTTTTAACTGGGGTCAAAATAAATATTAAAAAAAATCGTTTATAAACTAAAAAGAAAATCTACAATTGCATTATACATTCATTCATACTTTTTATAAACAAACGAATCATATCACAAAAGTATTAAGAAATTTCTGCTCACCAAAAAAAAAAGTATTAAGAAATTTCTAAAAACAAAAAAAAAGCAAAGAAAGCATTACTTTGATTTAGAGAGGCCATAATTTGGAGTTTTTTTTCCTTCGGCCGTAGGAAGAAGAAGAGACAAAAAAAAAAATATTGTTATTTCTCTATTAATTCATAGAAATCATTAAAAGTTGTATTATTGTTTTGGGTTTCGTTTGAACGTGGGTTCAATTTCACAAAAATATTAGACTTTTCATGTATGTAAATTAGTTTTTTGATTGGATCAATGGGGTCAAGGGATAATTTTGATTGGGTTCATTAGATCTAATGTTAAAAAATATGATAGAAATTTAGAAAGTAGTTGGGGTCAGCTGACCCCACTACCAATAGTGTGCCTCTGCCCCTCTATGAATGTGTGGTGGGATGGAAAGTGCAAAGTGGGGTTATAATTGGCTTCAATGAAAGATGATTTCCTTTCTTTTACTATTTAGTTTGACAGTCATATTGGGCTTTGACTGGATTCTAGTTATAAACTACGCCCCACTTTAATAAACCACAGTGGGCTTTAATTGTCATATATCCTAATCCCACTAGTGCGTCACCATTTAAGGAAAGTAAGAGAAAATAAGTAAGGCTTCGATTTTTTTCCAAAC